CGGAGGTCAGCAGGCTTGGTGACAAGTGCCTCTAACTGATGAGGCATCTCACCAGCCTTATTACGTTCTATTTATTGAAGTTAATCTTCAGAAGACTTACATTTTTACATGTAGACTTTCAAAACTTACTGGTTCCTGAAGGAGGCTGAAGAGCCTTCCCAGCCATGTGCCTCTGGACTATGACTGCAACACCTGGGAAGCGCGTGTGAGTTTGCATTAGTGCAGCGCCAGGTGCAGGACAAGCTGCTGCAGCCAACAGACAAAGAAGGATATCCTGCTCAGTTGGGAGGCTGGAGGGGAAGGCTCCGTAGTCGTCTTAACTGCTTCCTGCCCCCCCACCCCCATCTCCAGTGGGCAGAGCCTCTTTGCTTCATTTCTGCATGTGCTTCTCCTCCAGCTCTGCCCTCGGTGAGCTACTGGGTACTGGAAATGTCTTAACCTTTGCCTTCAGATCATGTGAAGCTAGAGCAGAGCCGGGCCCATCATGTGGTATGTGCTCTCTGAATTTGTGTGGCTTAAAGTCACGTTGAGGCATAGAAAGTGGCTCTTTAGAGCAAGATAAATATTCTGAGGGATGGTGGCATCAGATACCTTAGAAACCAATGGAACTGTGAGTACCTGGGCCCAAGGTACTTCAAGGGGACAAGATGGCCCCGAGAAAGACGAGAGGAGGAACTGGGAGCCGTAGGGGACTGAGGCACAGGTCGGTGTGCAGACCCCACTGCTCAGTCTAGCCCCTGCCCAGGATGAACAGGGTGGGGCACTGTCTTTCCTCCTCTGTCTCAGTGCAGACGGGACAAACGGGTTCCAGATTCTCCCATTGTCCACTCAGCTGCTTCCTATAGCACTGGCATAACTAGACTCTCAGACACTCAGGACAAAACCTTCTGATTCTCTTTTGCCAGATTTAGCCTCAGTTTATTCTGGGATGTTCCCCTCGCATGAGATGATGGAAGAGTCCACACCCACCTTTGTTCATAGAGTCTACTCGTTAGAAGAGCTGAGAGAAAAATAGTTTTTCGGGTTGTCTGCCTCCATTTGCAAACACCCAGAAATTGTGGGTACAAGCAGTTGCCTCTCAAGTCTAACTGGGAAGGGTCTCCAGTTAGACCACTGAGAAAGGCAGACCAACTTGATCCTCCCTGATCGTGGGTACTTGCTCTAGTGCCCACTGAGAGTTTTATAAAGTTTTATAAAAGGCTCCAAAAGAAAACTTTTCTGTGTCCGTCCATCCCCGTCCATAGAGGACGACCCAGTAGGTGATGAGACTCGTCTGAACCGTCTCTCCTGGTTAGAAGGACAGGTAGTTTGGGCCCAGCCAGTTGTCAGTGGACTCAAGCACACAAGTTTATTATAAAGAGCAAATAATGCCTTGTGTGTGCATTCAATTCTCCTGTGCTCTTTGAGTCTCCTGAGAAGCTGGCTCTGCATTTCCAGGGTCAGGCTGGCCCTCTGGCTGCTTCTCCTGCCACAGAATCAAACAGTAAAGGCATCATGACTGACTTGTCTCCTGATGAAAATAAAGCAGCTAGTGAAAAAACAAACAAACCAAAACTCCCAAGTCCAGCACCAGAGCTTTCTTTACTGCTACTCAGTGTTGTGGTGGGTTGTGTGCTGTGTGAAGACTGTGTGTTCTGTAAGGTTTACCTGGAAGTCACCAAGCCCCTCGGTGTAGCGCTGCGTACACAGGTGATTTTAAGTTACCGCAAATGTAGTTTGGATTCAATTTTGTTTTATTAAGGCGCTATTACACAATACTATCTTTGAAGTCAACTGCCGTAGCATCAGCCCAGCCAACGTGCAAAGATGGTCACAGGTAGGTTTGTTCATGTTATTAAATCTAATAAGAAAGCCAGAAAGCATAGACAAGTTACAGGGGTCTGGACAAGTTATAGAAGGTGTGTAACAGGTCAGAGTTCAATACATTGATGTCAAACTTCTGCTTAAAACAGTGGAGTTAATTGATCTACTCTGTCACAATAACAAGGACGGGCTTAAAGAACAAAATCATATCTAAACAAAGCTTTAAGCGTTTGATTCCCCCACCCCCCAGCTTTCTATCTACATATTACTCAAACGTACCAGACTGACTGACATGACTTCTAAGTGTTCGGGAACCATACCTGGAGACTAATAGAGTCAGAGGAATTAATAAAAGGGAGGATATTTCCACCTTTCTTCTCAAGGTCAACTAGGTCCCAAGGGACCTCTGAGGCATAACTGTAGAGGATCTACATTCAGGGAGGCTATGGAGAAGCCATCCAGTGAGCCCTCCAGAAATGAAGCCTTGGCCAAGCAAGGGTTCCATCCTCACTCACGTAGATGGAACAACTGTGGAAGAAAGGCCTGAGGAGCCGGAGGTTCCTCTCGAGCCCCGGTGGCCCCTGAGGAGCAGACCTCAAGTGGCCTTCACAGTTAAAGAAGTGATTGCTTTTGGCTGCCTGAATGGTTTGAAACACACAGCAGGTCCTTCCTAGACACTAGGGCTTAGTCCTCAGGAGGTGCTGTTCTGACAATATTTCTCACTAATGATCAGAAAAATGCTGCCCAGATGTAGGACCACCTCGTGGTCCGGGTTCAGTTCAACATGGCAGTGCCTACATGCAGCCCTGAGAGACAGGGCCCCTGTCGCTGTAACCTACAAATTAAATGAGATAAAGCTTAGTAGACTGGCCAGTTCTGTTTTCATTTCCAAAGGTATAAAACTTTTGGCAAGGCAGGAAAATGCATGTTAAGATGTGTTTAGTTGAGACAAGGGGTGGAAGTGTTTAATCCCAGTCTATGCTTTGACACTTAAGGGTGGCGAGAGACTAGAAGCTGATGTGCCTCAAGTTTGGATGACAGTCGTACCCTGGAAGAACAGTAGCCTTAGACTGTTGGATCATGGGAGTAAATAGTGGCTTTTAAATAAATAAGTGAGTTTGTCCTTCATAAAGGTCTATAAGATATTGTCACATAAACTCGGAAAAATTTCCTAGGACTTTTAAGACTGAAGAAAAGGTTTTCCGATGGTGTTTTCCTAGAAGAAAAACTCATAATTTATGAAAAGTTGACTGACGATCTCACAGGTTTTAGTTCTGAAACAAGAGCTGAGTTTAAGTGAAGGTTTTCCAGCTGTCACAGCCTGGGTTGTGGGCATGAGCTGCTTGGCCCTAGGAGCAGCTAGGAGTGCTGTGTGCTGCTGAGCCACACCTGCTCTGTGGGATCCTTTCCCATGTGATGTGCGCTTCAGTGTGGAGCTGTGACTGCCGGCGCAGGTGTTGCTTATGGGGTTTCATCCTCCTCCTAGCAGACTTGCTTGGGTTTAGCCAGTAGCGTCTCACTGCTGATAACAAGTGT